CTTTTTCTTTTTTTTTTTTTTTAATTTTTTATTTATTTATTTATGATAGTCACAGAGAGAGAGAGGCAGAGACACAGGCAGAGGGAGAAGCAGGCTCCATGCACCGGGAGCCCGATGTGGGATTCGATCCCGGGTCTCCAGGATCGCGCCCTGGGCCAAAGGCAGGCGCCAAACCACTGCGCCACCCAGGGATCCCTCTACTTACTTTTTCTACCTTTATTTTCTCTTAGCTCTAATTCCCTCACTGCTTAAAAAAAAAAAAATCTTATTATCTTGTACATAGAACACATTTTAAGTCTTTTTTGGAACAAGATGGAATAAATCTTAGTTAACAGAACCTGCTTCAAAGCAGCTCTACCTGCAGAATTCTGCTGTACCAAACCTAGAAGAGCAGCAGGCTCCTACAAGTGCTAAACACAAAGCAGCAGCAGCACACAGTGGGCCCTCAATAAATGTCCATCAGTTTGTTTATTAAATGGTGGAATCTGAAAGGCTTCAGGAACAAATGAGATGGACTGAGTAATAGCTGCTGTGAAAGAAATGTGACCAAAAAATATTACTAACAGAATAGATCAGAACCCCCACCACAAAGCCCCTCAAAAAAGCTGTAATTCCATGGTGAACACTAGAAAAGAAACATGTCTGTCAGTAGAAGTCGGGATAACTGAAACAAAAGAGCAAAGAAAGAAAGCAGTGATGTCCAGGCTATAAAGTAACATGTCAAACCAGAAATGCAGACAAAGAAGACAATCAGAGGTACAAATAGCCCACTGGGAAATGAGAAATGGTGTCACAGCCCTACAGCAGGTGACAGAAAGATAAACGGGGTGAGGCACACGATGAAGGAAATGTCAGAAAAGAAACAATACAAGAAAAGTTTCGAGAGATGAAAAAACAGCTCAGCCTAGAAATAAAGAACGCACACCGTGCCTTTCAAGGTTAGCCTGAGAGAAAGAAATCAGTATTTGCTAGTTACAATTCGGAATGATAAATGATCTGGCAAGCTGAAGGGAGATATGTTCGTTTGAAATCAGATAAGAATGACAAGAGAACTGACATCACAAATAGTGAAGACAAGATGACTCTCAGGAAGAAATGTGCCATTTGAACCACACATGAGTGCCCTAACCACATGGCAGTCCTAAGTAAGACTCACTCTGTGTAAGAAGAAAACAGACTCATTTGAAAAATGGGGGAGGATTTATGCATAATTATACTTAGAAAGAGAGAGGGAATGTCTGACTTTTTACAAAAATATGAAAGACAAAAGCTGATATAACAAGACATTGGAATTAGAATGGACTGGCTGAAGGGACGCCTGGGTTGGCTCAGTTGGTTAAGTGTCTGCCTTCAGCTCAGGCCTTGATCCCGGAGTCCTGGGATGGAGTCCTTGCTCAGCGGGGAGCCTGCTTCTCTCTCTGCCTTCCTCTCCCCCTGCTTATGTTCTCTCTTTCTCTATGACAAATAAGGAAATAAAATCTTTTAAAAATATATAGAATGGACCAGTTGAAAAAGAAAAAATAAGTGGTCTGACAAAAATTCAGCCACTCCTAAGATTTAACCTACACTTTAATAATTCCCAAATCCTGCTCTAGCAGACTTCTCTGCTGAGTTGTGGGTATGATTATCCCATTCTCACCAGCCATCCCTAGCAGTGACTCTGGGGTTCTTCTGCACCCAGCCAATAAGGTCTCCACCAATGCACAGACAAGCCTGTCCAACCATGCTTCTCCCCTTGCGTTGGTATTGGAGGTGTAGGGGTAACTCCTTCACCAGAGTACAGTCAAGATCCTTCCCAAACCCAGCAACTGCTTCTCACCCTCAGCCCAAGGGATTTCTGCCAACCCAACCTAGTCACAGCTCTGCATGACACCTGACCCTGACACTCAGCTGGAGGACTGTGTCACTTTACATACGTTTCCAAATATCTCTGGGTTTGAACCTTATTGACAGTACCTGGCCCCAGCATTAGCATGTGGATAACTAAATCAACCTCCGAGGTGCTGGGCCCTTTGCACACATGATTTCTGGATCTAAGAAGTCAGAAAGAAAGGAGAAACTGCAGAAAAAGGTAGAAACTGAGGCATCTGGGTGGCTCAGTGGTTGAGCATCTACCTTTGGCTCAGGTTGTGATCCCGGGGCCCTGGGATCAAGTCCCACATGGGGCTCCCCACAGGGAGCCTGTTTCTCCTTCTGCCTGTGTCTCTGCCTCTCTCTGTGTGTCTCTCAAGAATAAATAAAATATTAAAGAAAGAAATAAGGTAGAAACTGAGGCTTGGAGAGATGCCCTGAGGCCAGCACTTACTGGTCTAGGGAGCAGATCCATCCAGCTCCACAGCTGGTTCTGCTAACTGGGCTGTGTCTCAGGGGACGTAGAGGCATCCTGGAACCTGGACCAAGCATCTAGGGACATGGTTTCACTTGGGGCTGCACGTCCATCAGAGGTCACCCCAGGTGCTGGTCTGTGGTCCAGGGTCCTGCGGCCTTGAGGCTCCTGGTGACAAGCAGGCAGGCGCGTGCTCAGGACCACTACTGGATCCCTAGACACTGCCGCACTGTGCTGGGTAAACAGCCCACTTTCCACACCCACCCCCCAGGCCCGCCCTGCCCCACTGCCTATTTAAGCAAGAGGCCCTGACTCCACTGGCCCAGGCACCGCCAGCTTCCGGAGCTAGGAGAGCAGCCCTGCAGGCCTCGCTCACTCGGGGATGAAAGGTCCTTCTGTTTCACCATATCCTACCGGTGCGTTTTGAATGATGCTGCTGAGCTGGGTTGTAGCGGGAGCTGATTCTGCTGGCCTGGGAGTGTATTGAGATGTGTAGCGGGCCCGAGGGAGGCTCTGATTGAATTTTTCCTATTTCTAATCCCTGACTTGATGTGATCTTATTTTCAAAGAGGCAGAAAGCCCATAGTTGGTGAAAGGACAGAGGAGAGCATATTTCAAAACACAGTCTGGCTGAGAATATCAATGATCTGAGGTGTTTTTCTTTTCTTTTGAGGAAACAGAAGTCCTGTAATTTCAAGGTTGTAGAGATCCCATTTGCCCCTTGGGAGCCCCTCCCTAAATAGCCAGTTGCTGTCATTTAATTCTATTTTGAAAAAATGTGCAGAGAATTTTTTAAGAAGAGTTTGGTGAGGGAGGGAGGTTGTGTAGCTGGAGGGAGACAGTTTGGGGAAGGTCTAGACCACAAAGGGTCTCCTCGAGAAGCTTCTCACAGAGAGATGGATGAAGAGTGAGCTCCTCCCCCACTCCAGGGTAGTGGGGCCTGAGAGTCTCGGAGGCTGGGATGGCTCAGGAGAGGGCTGCCTCCTTCGTGTTCTCTTCTAGATGTTTGCCAGTCTGTGGCCTAGGGTCAGGTCAGCCCACAGAGAGTATAAGGACAGAGGTGCATGCAGGTAGGTCATCAGCCTATGGAGGGTGAAGAGACAGATGTGCCAGGTACAGGGGATGGGACCTCTCCTGGAGGCCAGAACAGCAGGCCCCATCTGGACACCCCAGGCTCTGGGTGGGGAAGGATGCCTACCAGGTGGAAACTCAGAGGAAACAAGTTAGGGTGTCCACAGGGGAGAAAGGGCCCCTAGGGGAACAGAAGACCTAGGGGCTGTGGCTTCCTTCTTGCCACTCTAATGTGGCAACATCAGGTACCCATGCTTGTGGCTGTCCAGGACCGTGGAGTGACCCCCTGCGTTACAGGGAAGGGGGCACCTGATGCTCAGACAGGTAGCAGACCCAGCCCTAGAATTCAGGTCTCCCTGGAGCTTCTCCCTATAGATTTCTAAGCAAGAGAGAGCCAGATATTTGCCAAGTGAAGAAACACTCTTGCCAGCCCTTCTGCAACATCTTTGGCTTGTGGACCGAGGGACTGGGACTTAAATTTTCAGATTCTTCTGAAACACAGTTTGAGTGATGAGCAAAATAAGTGTATATAAATGACGGGAGCTGGTCCAGGGGAGCGCTGGGGAGCAACGGTTGCCTCGGAGATGTGACGGTAGTAAAGAGAGTCTGGCAGCAGAACTGGCCTCAAAAGGTGGAGGGCCAAGCAAGGAGCAGCGCACGGAGCCCGGCGGGGCGCGGGTCTGAACTTCTGAGGCCTGAGGCCAGGAGGCCGGGCCTCCAGCGGAGGATGAGGCTGGGAAGTCGAGGGCGGACTTGGGCCTGGAAGGCGGGACTAAGGAGCCAGAGGTGCGCCTGAAGCCCGGGGGCGCGGTCCGAGAGCGGCCGGGTGGGGGCGGGGCCTGGGAGAAGGGGGCGGGGCCAGCCCCGGGCGGGGGCGGGGCCAGAGCGCGAGGCCCCGCCCACCAACCCCGCCGGGGCGCCTGTCTGGAGCTGCTGCTGTCGGGGATGCAGGGAACCGGCGGCATCGTGTCCCCAGCCTCCACTCGCACGAGTGTGCTCCCCACCGTCCCCTAAGGAGACCCGCTGAGGTGGCCGGGTGTTTGCGGAGCTCCCCCGGGCCAGCCTCCCCTCCCCTCTTTCTCCCCCAATGCGGCTTCCTCCTGCCTCCCCCACCCCGCTGTCCCTCCTCTACGGCCTGGGTTCGGCTCTCCTCCACCCCCACGTATCTCTGCGAGATTACACACAGCTCCTGGGGGAGGCTCCGATTGTTCTGGCTTCCCCCTATCAGATCCAACCGAGGCCGGGCTGGGCTCTGAGTTAGCCCCTCGCCGCCGCCACCCCGCACGTCCCCGCCTGGCCCGGCCAGCTGTCCACGTGGAGATCCCCTCCCTCCCACCGTCAGGCGGAGTCCTCCTCACCTGTCAGCCCTCGTCCCCCCAGGCCCGTGTAGGTCTGTCGCACGAACCCCCGCCCCACCCCCTCCGGCTGCACTTCGCGGGGACAGCCGCGTCCACACCCTCTCCTTGGCGACGTGGAGGGTGTGGCGCAGCCTCGGGCGCAGGTGGGGCCCCTTGGTCTTTGCACCTGGCTCACCTGCTCTGGGCTGCTGGGTAGCTGTCGGTTGAGTTCCCGGCACCTCGGTGAACCGCTCTTCTCCTTTCAGGTCCTGACTGCGGGGGCGCCCCCTCTTCAGACGAAGAGAGAGGGTCCCAGCGGCCCCTCCTCAGGTAAGACAGGGGCTTCTGGAGGGGCGAGTGCCCGTGCGGGCCGCCCCTCAGGCCGTGTTGTGTATAAAGAGGGGCTGTGTGGAATTGCCTAAGAAAAGGTTCTGCTGTTTGGTTAAAAAGTCTGGGAACACAGCTGGGGTAAGCCGTCGGGGCTGGCCCCCCTCCTACCCGGAGCTCCCCAGCCGAGTACAACGCCCGTGGAGGGGTGTGTCTCACCCACCCTAGAAGACACAAACTCCTTCAATACATGGGGAACACTTGAGGCAGCACTTCTCCAAAGTGAAGGAATACAATTTAAAGATCTTGGGAAATGTAACCAGATATCATCATTACCCACCAAACTATTTTGAAAAAAAAAAATGTTCTTTTAATTGCTTAAAACCAAGAGCTGGTAAAGATGCTATGAAACAAGCACTGTCAAACAACTGGTGGAAAGAGATTTGGGTGGGAGGTGGGGTGGAAGAGGGGGGTGCTGACACTTGTCAGGCATCAGGGGTTCCTATTATCTGCCTACTATGTCCCCAACACAGCTAGAGTCTGGTGATGGGATAAAATACTAAGTACTTGCAGGAGGACACAGGCCTCGGAGTTAGAAAACAAAACCTGCATTCTCTGAGACTGGAGGTGGAGGGGGGGCGGTGAGCAGCTCCAGGGCTGCTCTTGTCCATCACAAGAGCAGAGTCCCTGGTCTGCAGAGACAATCCATAAGGCCACCTCTGATTCTTCCTCCCTTTGCTTTGAGGAATAGAATGTGTCACCATTGCTCAGGTTCCTCTCTCAGTTCTGTTTCTAGCTTGGTACATCTCAAGATGTGGGGGGCTGGTGCCCCTTCTGGTGTGCAGACAGCAAACATGAGCAATAAATGCACAGAAACCACCAGCTGTCGAGAGAAATGACCTGTTTCAGCCAGGTCAAAGGTCCTCTCATTATCTTTGGGGCCATAGAGTAGGGGATTGGCTGGGGCTTAGTAAGAGGTGGGCACTGTGACTTTCAAACCCCGAGCCCCCTGCTGGGGCCTACATCCCAGCACACAGAGGAGGGCTCAGGAGGGAACAGCCCCAGCAAAGACAGGGAGGTCTAGAAGGCTGTGGTGGAGAACCACACAGGGGCCCTGGGAATTCAGAAGTCTGAGGCAATGCAGAGCGATCGGGATGCTGCCCTTCCCTGCCAGGTGCTTGGGCATCTTCCTGGGGTCAGCAGGGGCCACTGAAAAGTTTAACAGGGGAGTGTGTGGTCTACTGTGTAGTTGAAAAGTTTAAAAAGATCCCAGTAGCTGCCATGTGGACCAGAGGAGGGGAGGCCAGCTGCCAGGAGACAGGTGGTGGCTGTGCAGCGTCTCAGTGGGACAGGGCGGGGCCTGATCTGGCCATAACCGTGGGAACCGATAGGAGGGGTAAGGGAGGCAGAACTGGTGCTGATGGGAAGAAGCAGGGCATGGAGGATGTCCAGAGCTTCAGGGACTACTCAGGGGACAGAGCTGGTGGGGCGGCAGTGGATGAAGAAGTCAGCTATCAGGAGAGACACCTGGGAACAGGTGACCCTGAGGGATCAGGCATGAGAGGAGAGAAGGGGCACGGGCGCCTGGGGGGCTCAGCGGTTGAGCGTCTGCCTCCCGCTCAGGGCGTGATCCCAGAGTCCTGGGATCGAGTTCCGCATCAGGCTCCCTACATGGAGCCTGCTTCTCCTTCTGCCTGTGTCTCTGCCTCTCTCTCTCTCTCTCTCTCTCTCTCTCATGAATAAGTAAATAAAATCTTTAAAGAAAAAAAAAAGGAGAGAAGGGGCAGAGGAAGGTCTAGCTCCTCAGGGTGGGCAGGGGAGGACCGGACAGCAACGGGTTCGGAGAAGCAGCCCCAGGGCCAGGAAGGGAAGAGAGATGGTGGCCCAAGGAGCAAGGGCAGAGAGCCAAAGGATAGATGAGGATCATGCAGTTTAAGCCTCCTGTTGGGCTTATTTTTAAAAGTCAATCAGGTTGAAACTGCATAGACTGTTTTCTCATTGGTGCTGACCTCTGTTCTGGCTATTTTCTTTCCACAACTCTCCCAGAAAGCCTCGTGAGACACCCTGTCCACCTTCTGTCTAGCGGTGAGGGGAGTGCAGGAAGCCTCAAAGGGGTGGGGGGAGCGCTGCTAGGACCCTCAACCAGCCAGGGGGTCGCTCAGGCCTCCCAGAGTGCAGGACACAGGCCCGGCCAGTGAGGCAAGGCTCCCCCTGCCCCGAGCCCAAGGATTATCGAGGCCAGCCTGATCTGTGTGCTGTAGGGAAAAGCTACTCAGACGTTCTAAGCATTTAAGTTAAACAAGCCCAACTCAAGACCAACTGTCAATGAATGTGCTGGATCCTCCTTTCAGGCCCATTTTCCACAGCTGCTCCTGCCGGGTGGCTCCTCACCCACCTCCTGGGACCTGGTGGGTCGTTTTGGTCATGGCGTGGCCGAGCGGCAAGACCTCTTGAGTGGCTCTGCCTCCCACAGGCCTGCTCTCAGCTCTCCCAGACTCTGTGCTTTATCTCCCTCCCTTGCTCGCTGCTCAGCAGCTTGCTCCACCCACCACTTACCCCCTTTCTGTCTCCATGCCCTCTAGGAGGACACCCCCACACTAAAATATACACACCTAGAAAGCAAATGTTCTGCCCCCAGAAATCCCTGGGACCTCTCTGTGAAATACCCTGAGCAGTCAGAGTGCTGCGTCTGACTCATAGGAGCCGGATGCCAGGCGCCCTCAGCCCCCGAGTCGCCCCCCTCACAGCCTGGGCATGCACCCCTCAGCCAGCACAGCCTGGCCGTGTCTGACCCCCAACCATTAATCAGAGGCTGTTGCATCCATCTCAATCTGTACAACCTCAATGGAGTCTTGACACTCCCTCCTCCTAAGCCTGTGGGCCTTGATTGGCCCCTGGAACCAACACTGATCCTTGGCAGAAGTTTCCAGTGGACCTACTTCCCCATGTGTGTGGACTTACTCTGCTACTTATATCACTAGCAGTGGCCTCTTCTCTGAGCAGAAATGGTTTCCAGTAAAAAAACTTTTTTTTAAGATTTTATTTATTTGAGAGAGTATGAGCAGGGGAGAGGGGTAAAGGGAGAAGCAGACTCCTTGCTGAGCAGGGAGCCCAATGTGGGACTCAATCCCAGGACCTCAGGATGATGACCTGAGCCGAAGGCAGACGTTTAACTGACTGAGCCACCCAGGCACCCAGTTTCCACTAGAAATTAAAAGATTCAGGCTTAGCTCCCCTGATGCCTCATGGTCCTAAGCAGGAATCAACTGTTCAGAACATACACTGAGGGGATGGGAAGGAGTGAGTCCCCAACTTGGTCTGGATTTGGGGCAGAGGAACATCATTATTGCCATTTAAAATGGAGATCTTTCTTGAAAAGAGTCAGGTCTGGAGGGTCAATCTAGCTATGTACCTAAGAAACTGAAGGCTAAAAAAAAAAAAAAAGAAAGAAAGAAACTGAAGGCTGTTGATCAGTAAGACTTGTTTTTGGTAAATGGATTAAAGAAATCAGAAGCCTGGGGTCCCTGGGTGGCATAGTCGGGTAAGCATCTGTCTCTTGGTTTTGGCTTGGATCCTGAGATCGAGCCCCACATTGAGTTCCACTCTCGGCTCGGAGTCTGCTTGGGATTGTCTCTCCCTCCATCTCCCTCTGCCCCTCCCACTCATGCACACTCCCTTTCTTTCAAATAACTAACTAACTAACAACTAACTAACTAAATATAAATCTTAATAAGAAAGGAGGAAGGGGGTGCCTCAGTGGCTCAGTGGCTGAGAGTCGGCCTTTGGCTCAGTTTGTGATCCCAGGGTCCTAGGATTGAGTCCCCCCATCGGGCTTCCTGTGGGGAGCGGGCTTCTCCCCCTGCCAGTGTCTCTGCCTCTCTCCGTGTCTCTCATGAAAAAGAAAGAAAGAGGGACGCCCTGGTGGCTCAGCGGTTTAGCGCCACCTTCAGCCCAGGGCGTGATCCTGGAGACCTGGGATCCGGTCCCACGTTGGGTTCCCTGCATGGAGCCTGCTTCTCCCTCTGCCCGTGTCTCTGCCTCTCTCCCCCCCACCCCCATGAATAAATAAATAACATCTTTAAAAAAAAGAAAAGAAAAAGAAGAAAGAAAGAAAGAAAGAAAGAAAGAAAGAAAGAAAGAAAGAAAGAAAGAAAGGAAGGAAGGAAGGAAGGAAAAAGAAAGAAAGAAATCAGAAGCCTTCCTCTAGGGCAGCCCTGGTGGCTCAGTGGTTTGGCACAGCCTACAGCCCAGGGTGTGATTCTGGAGACCCAGGATCAAGTCCCATGTCGGGCTCCCTGCATGGAAGCTGCTTCTCCCTGCCTGTGTCTCTGCCTCTCTCTCTCTCTCTCTCTCTCTCATCTCTCATGAATAAATAAAATCTTAAAAAAAAAGAAGCCACCCAGCTGCCCATAATCAAAGTTTTTTGTCTTGCTCCTACGACATGTGGATTAGTGGGGGCCCTGCCCCATGTGTCCTCACCTTGGGATGCAGGCTGCTGGAGCACCCACCATCATGAACACTACAGGTAGATGTGGCAAAAGGAGAGAACTCTGGAAGGTCTCACACCTGCTGTTAAGTACTCTGGCCCAGCAGTGACATAGATCACTTGCAGTCACAGCTAGTTGGTCAGACAGAGCTGGTCACATGATTCCACCCAACCACAAGAGGACCTGGAAGAGCAATCCTGCCTCATGCCTGGAGAGCAGGATCCAGCCCTTGGGGGCCCAGAGGAAGGGAAGCAAGAGTCCTATCCTAGACTGGGAGGCAGAGGTAGAGACGAAAAGGGAAACATCTACCCAGATGTTCACAAAGATCAAGCGTGCTTATCTTTTAAGTAGTCATTCTTGGATGGAGACGTGTCCCTGGCTATACTAGCATGTCTACATCAGCAATCCATATCCAGAGCCAAGGGTTCTCATTTCCCTTTTCAGAAGTGCAGGCTTCAACAGGCAAGAACAGGTGTAGGGACAGCTACCACTACCAGAGGGGCTGGAGCTAGTGGG